CGGAAGGTTCTACTTAGATCGCTTCTTATTCTAGTGTTATCTTCTTCTCTTTGAACCTAAGTTTCCACTCAATAATAAGACCTTGTTCCTGACTAGATCCTGAGCTGCTAGCAAATATTTTGACTTTTAGGTGTATCTACATATTAAGTTGTACATGGTATATGCGTGTGTGTGTGTGGGGGGGGTGCATGCCAGGTGCAAGTGCTTAGATAAGAGGATAACATTGGGTGTCTTGTTTTATAAGTCTGTCTAACTCCCTTCAGACCGTGCCTCTCACTGAACCTAAGTTTGCCATTAAGGTTTGGCAGCCTAGACAACGAGACCAGCTCATTATTTGTCTCTGCTCTGTAATTGTGGAATTATAAGTATGCATGACTGTACCATTTTTTTTCAGGGAGATGCTGAGGATTTGAACTCAGGTCCTCACATTTGTGCAAATGCTCTTACCACTGCACCATCTTCCTAGTACTAAATTAAGCTTTCTAATCAGATGAGAAGAATTCAGCAATTTTGCATAATTATTAGCAACTAAATTTCAGCTTATTGGTATTGGTTTAAATTTTCATAGAAGGAACTAAAGTGCTTATTTGTAGAGAAAAATCAAAATTATATCTAAAAATAAGCTTTATGTTTAACTTATTTAATATGGAAGAAATTATATGAGACACAAATGAATATTTGAATACAAAGATAAATTTTGCCCTATTCAAAGTATCTATAAAATCAAAGTTGGATGACATATACTAATTTATTTATTCACACTGTCATACACTAGGGATATACTGAATTCTTTGATTCACTCACATAACATTTAATGAATGTCTTTTGTGCAAAGCACTATTATTTCATCCTGGAGCTTTAAAAAAATAATATTCACAAGGCATGCTTTTGACTTAGTCCAGGCATTTTCTGCAGCTGAAATCGCTAAACTCTTGTTTGTACTAATTAAGCAAAACACTCATCAATATGAAACACAAATAACTAAGTATCAAGAACCTAGTACTTGGATTTTCTCACATGGACTTTGAGGTTGACACACTCTACCAACTCATCAGAAGCCAGCAGTGCCCTGAGTGTCAGCCTCTGTACAGCTCTCTTCCATCTCCTCAGACTGCTCTTTTCTTTACCCACATTTCCCTGAATTCTGGTTAATCTTCAGTGCCTTTCTCCCATGTTGCCTAGTATGATTGTGGCCACGTCTGTCTTCCGTATGATTTGCCTTCTTAGTCCATTTTAGGAACCCTGCTCTTCCATACTCACACTCTCCCACCTCCCCTCTGTATGTACATGGACCCTACTTTCACACTGCTTGAAACTCCCGACTCAAGCAGACTGTATGATTCTGCATCAAGATCAACTGGTTAATATTTACCTATAAGTTTCTTTCAAGGTCTATCACAGAATTTCTTTTTATCTTTACCAACCTTCTTTCTGTCTCTTTCCCGAATAGCAGGCTTGTATCCTGTCCCCCACACAATATGCACTAGAGGCGAACATCTCCATGCACCAAGCTTCTCTAGCATCAGTGCTACAGAACTGAACAGAAGATGAGGCTCTCTGTTGTGGGACTCACACTCTAGTGGGTGGAGGGCTAGAGAACAAACAAGTACACACAAATACATGCATGGTTTTATACTGTGAGATGAGCTAGAAAGACATTTTGAAAGAGGTGGTTAAGTCAGTCAGTCTGTAGATGAAGAGCACGGAGAGGGATCCTCCGAGGAGGGCAGCAGGACACTACAGAACATTATGAGAAGAAGGTACTAGGTATCAGGACCTGGGAGCAGGAACGGTTGGCATATTCAAGGAAAAGACTGATCCCCTGCGTTTCTGCAAGGGCTGAGGGGGGCTGCTCAGCTGTACACCCATTTGCAGCCAGCAGGCATGCCACCAGTCATCCTCGGCCAGTCTTCAGCCTGGACTACCTCTCACAGTCCCTTTTCTCCTGTTTCAAAATGCTCAAGAGGTGTTGAGTGTAAAGGACACTCTGCTCTGACTCCTGCTGACCTGATTGCCAGAGTCCCCAGTCAGCAGAGGGCTCCCACATCTGCATGACCTCACTTAGCTTTGGCAAATGTGGTTTGTGTCTATACTATCATCTTCAGTATGCTGTCTAAGACCATCGGTGATGTCTCAGCTCAGATCCAGTGGCCTTTCCTCAACCCTCATCCTTCTTGACTTTCTGTCACATTCTTGACAGTCCCACTTTCCAAAGACTCTTTGTTTCATGAAAATAAATTCTGTACATAGTTCTTCTACCTCGATGACCCCTCTGTGACTGTTACTTCCCAACCTCTAAGATGTTTGTGACCCCACTTCATTGTCTATCTGTCGGCCTCTCCTTTCTTCCTCCTCCTCATCTTCAGCAGTCTCACTCCTAAAGCCGGAAGCCAGCATTCTCTGTGGGCAACTTCTACGCCTGTTTTCCCCAGGCCCACCTTTTCCTTCAATATCCAGAAAGATCCTTTCAATAGCAAATGAAAACCAAAGAGCATGTTCAGGCAGCACTCTCAACTCAGCACATTGTGAGCTGAATTCATAAGCTTCTTCCCCAGCCCTGAGACTTCTATGTTTGCAAATGATTAACAGGTAAGTGTGACTTTCACAAGACTCACAGTGCCCTCTCTGCAATAATCCTGAAGTATGTCCTTTTTGCTTTGTTGCCACTGAGACACTTTGCCACCTCATATGCATCTCTCCCAAGCCCTCAAGAGTCTGTCTCCTAGACTAGACCCATTCCATCAACTCTTCTACGGCTATGCCATCAAAAGGATGCTGACAGAATGAGTCTCCTCATGATCTCCTGATGTGGGATTCCCTGCTGTATGCTGTGAATATGTTTTATTACCATTGGTTAATAAAGAAGCTACTTTGGCCTATGGCAGGGCAGAATAAAGTCAGGAAGGAAATAAGAACAGAGATATATAGAAAAAGTAGGCAGAGTCAGAGAGACGCCATGTAGCTTCCAAATGAAAGATGCCAAAACTTACTGGTAAACCATAACCTTGTGGTGCTACATGGAATAATAGAAATGGGTTAATTTAAGATGTAGGAGCTAGCTAGAAATACGCCAGAGCCACGGGGTCAAATAGTATTGTAATTAATAATAGTTCTGCATGATTACTCGGGCCTGGGTGGCTGAGAAATGAATGCACAGTCTCAGATTACAGTTCTCATTTCTGGACAGCTAATTCCTCAGGATCTGTGGCTTGGAATGCCATGCTCCATATCTACCATTCACATAATTTTCCTCACTCTCGAGGGAAAATTATTTCCTTTAATTTAATGTTCCCTTATAGTACTTATAGTCATACATCTACATGTGTTTTTGTCTTGCAGTTTATTATTTCATTATCTTTTAAAATGATCTTTTTGAGGATAATATCCGACGCCCTTTTTTCTTGCTCTAAGTCACAGTCCTGCATCCTCTCTACGGCCTGCTGCATCAGCAGGTTGCTATCTATGTGAGGGTGCTTCCTAATTCTCAAAGTCCTGCTTGCGACAGTATTAGAGCATTGCTGTGTTGTACTGTTCGGATGGCAGGCTCAACAACATCCCACTTATATGTTTACAAGGCACCTTAGCCTGAACGTGTGCTGCGCGGCTTCACCTCTCGCTCTCACAGTCTTCTTTATAGCACAGAGTAACACCATCTGTCTCCTGGCATCACCGTGACTGCTCCCAGGCTTGCTCTCCTTTGCTCTCTTGTCTCCCACATGTAAACTAACAGTAAATCCTGCCAGCTCTACCTTTCAAACACATCCCTGCGATTTTTTCTTCTTTGAAGAATACCACAACTGCTGCTCTACTGCCCAAGCCCAAGTCCCTTGTGGTCTGTTTCATTATCGCAGTCCTTTATGGTTGGTCCCCCTTCCTCTTCTGCCCTCCAACTAGTCCATTGTCTTCATGAAGAAATCCCACTTTATAGTGTCAAGTCAGATAGTGCCACTGCTCTGTTCACTAGAGAAGGATACCTTCTCTACTAATAGACACATTCATGTGTCACACCATGACAACCTCAGGACCTGGGCTGGGGCACTGAGGACTCCTTTATGGATTCTCCCTGGTCATTGTCTGCAGCCACACTAGTGCCCACACTGGTTTTCTAAGAGAAAACTTTCAGTTCTTTGAAGCACCCTTACTGCCAAGGGCAAAGTACGTTAAAAATCTAACTTATGTGTGAATTAGGACACTAAGGCCATGCCCTAGGCTCACATTGTAAAATCTGTGCAATAGTATGTAGAGTGATTGTATGTAGCCTTTCGGGGCTCAACATTACTTGAAAAGGAAAAGAAAAAGAGAAGCCAAAGTTGAACAGAATTAGATGATTCTTAAATTTCCCTTTCCAAGTTCTATTCCAAAGATCCAGACTGGCATTAACTAAAGAGCTCCAAGAACAATTTACAGCTGCTATGAAGAACAGCAATTCTCTTTCAGCACATGATTAAATATTTAAGCTCTTAGAAAGAATATTCTAGCTTGTAATTTGAATGTAATACAAGCCAAAATGTGTAAATAAAATATTGATGTTTACTTAAAAATATAATATTATAAATAAACTTATTTCTGCTAAAATATCAACCTAGGAAAATATACCATCTTTTTTGTTAGTGTTATTAAAGAGAAATTATAAAGACTAAAAATAACTATCAGACAACCTAGGGAAAATGTATAACTCATTCTAAACCTAAGAAAAATTCAGTACTACAGCCCAAGCGTTCCCATACTATGTGGTTTGAGACAATCTGATGACACTATCCTATCACGGTGTTTGATTATGACAAGAGAACCCCTTCCACAACAGTCAAGGGGAAGTTAAGTATTTCCTAACTTCATTAGAGCATTTTAGCAGTGCATGAGGCAGAGCAAGATGTACAAACTGCTCATCTAAATCTGAAGAGTAGATCCATGTCTAACACCTTTCAGAGACTAAACCTCAGAGTGGGTTTTAAATCTGCACTCTACAGTCTAACCAAAAGGCCTTCCAAACAGTTCCTCACCTTCTCCAGGGTCATCTCAGTCTCTGCGGCATGCGTCTTTTTCAGCTCCATTCTCACCCTCTCTGATTCAGCCTTCAGTTTGTTGACAGCAGTCTCATGGTCCCTTGCAGCCCTTTGCTTTTCTTCTTCTCGAAGAAGACCAAGTTCTACGAGCTGCTGTTTCCGCTGAGAGTTCACGTTAATCAGCTCTTCCCTCAACTTATGGACCTGGGCCTCCATGTCAGCAATAATCTAGGAGAAATAGACAGACATGAATAGAGAAGTCACAGAGGAACACAAGGCCAATAAGTACACATCTTAAAGGTCACTTGCCCTTCATGTCCCCACCCAGGATCATTTTTGCTCTCTGTGTCCTTCAATCCCATGCTGTTCCTTCTCACCCTCAGAGGTAAACACCATGTGGAGATAAACATTTTCCTACACACTGTTTAATTAAGCACCACCACATTGCCTAATCTTACTTGTTCGTAATACCTATGTTGGTGGAATATTATGAGTGTTCTTCTGAAACTGGTTTTCAAATATTCAACATCAAGTTCTTGGCATTCATCTAATGTCTTTGTGTTTTTGCTTTTGTTTATGTATTGTTGGTTTTGATTTTGTTATGTCCTTACTTCTATTTTCTTAGTTTCTTTTGTATTCCTTCTTCTAGTATCTTATTTTTTGGATAGCTAACTCATTTTTATCCCTTCTTTTCTGATTTATAAATTTGAAGTTGTGTTCCATTTGTTTAGATATATGGTGTTTTACTATCACATAGTCCAATACACATTTAACTTCCTTTATTCTTTCCTTTGACATGTGAATCATTTAGATGTATGTTTCTTAGCTCTAAATTTCATGGACTATGTTTCCCAAGGCTGCTCTTATTAGAGTTCTTTATTAAGTGCCCCAAATGAAGTGGTTTAAAAGAACATTGATGTGAAGCTTGGGAGAGGGCTCAGCAGCCCTCTGAACACTTAAGAACACATTGCTGCTCTTGCAGAACACCAAGGTTTGGTTCCCAGAACCCATATAGCTGCTCACCACCATTCATAGCTGTTGTTATAAGGGGGATCCTGTGTCCTTTTCCGACCTCTGTGGGCAGCAGGTCAGGACCCAGTGTGTATACATACATACATACATACATGCAAAACATTCATATACATAAAATAAATGAATCATTAAAATATAAGAGAAATATATTTTTTCATAGTTTTGTGATGTGGGATTCCCCTCTGTATGCTATGAATACCATTGGTTAATAAAGGAACTGCTTTGGGTCTATAGCAAGCTAGAGGGGAACAGAGATAGGTGGCAAAAACTAAACTGAATGCTGGGAGAAAGGAGGCAGAGTGAGGAGAAACCATGAAGCTCCTGCCAGAGACAGAGGTGCTGAAACTTTGTTGGTAGGCCACGACCTTGTGGTTATGCACAGATTAATGGAGATTGATTAAATTAAGATGTAAGAGTTAGCAAATAAGAAGCTAGAGCTAATGGGCAAAGCAGTGATTTAAATAATATGGTTTCTGTGTGATTATTTTGGGACTGAATAGCTGGGAACCAATAAGCGGCCTCCCTCTAACAGTTCTGGAGAATAGAAATCTCCATACTAAGTGCTGTCTGAGTTGGTTCCTCTGGGACTCTGAAGAGCTCATTCCACTCATCTTTCTTAGATGTAGGACCCAGGTCTGCCCCTGCTCCTGGGGTGCATCTTGAGGACAGTTTCTGGTCAGCCAGCTAAAACATTCTGTTTGTTCCTGTGCTCCCTCTGCCCTGCCTGGTGATTAGCTGTAGGGCATTGTTGACTCCATCTTTGGTATGGTAATTTCCCACCTGCCTGGGCGGTAATCCTTGTGCAGCAGCCAGGTATATGAGGATTTCCCCAAGGTTAAATAAACAGCATTGCTGATCTCCTTTCAAATGACCCAGGTCTCTTTGTGTGTTCTTTCAATCTCCAGGCCCTTGCCCTACTCAACTTGCATACGGTACAGTGGCATGCGAACTGTACAGAGGGGGTAACACAGAATCGGGTGTTACACTCAGATGCTGCTGGAATCTGCCATTCACACTTGGTATTCCCTGGTGTGTAGACACAGCAGTTCAACCTCTTTTCCACCTTGCCAGGGTTCTCCTCTCTCTGGATATCTGTGCCTCTATGTTTCTCTCTTTCATAAGGGCACTGGCCACATTGGGGTTAGAATAGAATGTACTATATCTTCCACTACTAAAAATTGAGATTGTTTGATGGTAAGCTATGTTGTCAAGTTTTTAAAGGCTTCAAAGAAGGCAGCTAAAAAGTTGGTTTAAACTTTTTATGTATGTCGAGTTTTATATTCTATAAGTGTCCATTGAATGAAAATTTGATGCTGCTGAAGACTATCACCTGCTGATAGATGGAAGTGTAAGCTATCAGCCAATGATTCACGTTAAAATCTCATTGCACTGACAAATTTGTCTGTTCCTCTTTGCCAAGTTTCCTTTTATATATTTTGAGATTATAAGGGACATCTCTTGTTCACTTGCTTTTTTGTTATCAATGTTCCTCATATGTTCTTATTATTGAATAATTGCACTCCTTACCTTCAGCATGAGTTCTGCTATAAAGTCACTTTTGCCTAGGGTTAATAGCAGGAACAGCAGTTCTTTAGATGAGGGATATTGTTTGGTATATTTTATTTAGTATTTTACTTTAGAGCTTTCTGCATCTTCAATTTTTAGATGGATATGTTATAAACAGCATATTGATTTCAACTTTCTTTTTGAAATTTTACTAATCTTTGTCTTTTAAATATAGTATTTAGTTCAGTTAGTTTTCATAAAATTAAATATTAGCCTTTAAAAAATCTTTTTGTGCTATTTGTACATTCCACATTTTCTCCATTTTGTCTTTTAGTCGAAACAAATCTGTCCATTCCCTCCACCATCTTTCCTGTCCTCCCTCACCTGGCATTTCCCATCCTGGTCCCTTACTTGTCAGTGCTCACAGTGAGAACACTTTGCTACATGTTTTTAAGTTCTTTCCAAAGGGTTCGGCATCAACCCCTGTAGCATGTACAGGTTTGAATACCTCTTTCTGGGTGGGGTTGAAATGCCAGTGGTTAGTCCTTTGAAGGACTTCAGTTCATCTCTGCCTGCTTTCCAGGTCTGCTCTTTGTCTCCCATGTTCCTTGGGTTCTTTACTTTCCCCTGAGTGTCCACATGCCTTGTTATTTTTATCAGGCTTGTTACCTTTAAATCTCTGTCAGATCTTTGACAACTACCACAAGCTTTTCAGTGAATGCGGCTCTTCTCTGTTTCCATGCCTTAGAGAACCCAATCTTTCTTCTTACAATATTGCCGACGTAAATTTATTTAAATTTTCCTGTTCTTTCATTTCTCTTTATACCTTTCATATTCCTCCCTCATGCATCAGTCTCTCCTGCATTATTTTCTTCTGCTTATGAAATGTTGTCAGGTTGATTCAGGTTCCAAGTTTCACGTGTTTTGCTCTTATTTCTAGTTTTACTTTTTGTCTAGTATGCTTTACATTCTCTGTCTTTCACCAGATTAAATCCATTTACATTTTTCTTAGTCATGACTTTACATGATAACACTTCTTTCTAGTTCAGAGATGACAGGCCAAGCAGTTAAGTCTTGTAATCTTGTTCTACTCTCCACAACTTCTGGAGGTTCTGGTCCACAGTGTTCTACTCAATTTCTGTGCTTTTAAAAAATGTAAGCTTCTATTCATCAGAATGTTATCCGTGGGGACAAAGTGGCTGTTGACCATCATATCATATGGATAGCAAGGGAAACACTAATATCTCTAGATAACTTTGAGAAGACTTTTCTCAATCTCTCCTGATTCTTGGGAGAACTAATATCTCTGAATTTTTCAGGTGTAGACCACTGACTCATTGTCAAAGACTGAAATATAATTTCTCTTTTTCTTTTTGTACAGGGCCACATGTAGCCTAGACTAAACTTGAACTCACTATGTAACCAAGGCTGGCCTTGAACTCCTAATTTTCCTGCCTCTGCCTTCTAAGGGCTTTGTATTACAGACATGAACAACACTCCTGGTTTAAGATGGAGTACTTCTGTTCCTGGTTCACTAATGTCCAACTCAACCACACACTATGGGCATGACCAGTTTTATGTATATTGATGGCCCAGACTTTCATATATAAATGGTCCCTGTACCTCATAAAAGTAGAAAAACAAAACAAAATAAATATTCTCAACAAATACCCAGTTTAAAAAAATACCTTCAAAATGAGAGCTTTCTTTAGTCCTTTGTTGATAGCTTCTGTTTGCACTCAGTGGTTGGTATATGACTGTCCTGATTAGTACAAGAGCTTACGTACACAACAAAAGTTCTTTATAAAAAGTACGCAGCAATTCAGCACTGTGTAAAGTGAGAGTTGACCAGGGAACCTAGTTTGCCATGGCACCAGATAAATACTTAGTTCAGACTTAAGCAAACCTCCTTGAATCCTGTAGCTGCCCGTGTTTGTGTCTACATCTTCTGTCCCACTGATCCACATGTCTGTTTCTGCACTGGTCCCATGCTGTTTTTGTTACTCTGGCTCTGCAATGTACCTTGAAATCAAGCACAGGGACACTTCTAGCTTTATTTATTTTTGCCTAGGATTGCTTTGGCTATCCTGTCCTTTGTAGTCCCAAATAAAATTTAAAATGGGATAGGAGAATATGATCAAAGTACATTATATATGCATATTTGGTGTAGGAATTCCTTCTGTTTGTGTGTTGCTTTCATTGGTTAATGAATAAAGAAACTGCCTTGGCCTAGTAGATAGGGCAGAACTTAGGTAGTTGGGGAAGACAGAACTGAATGCTGGGAGGAAGAAAGGTGGAAAAAGAGAGACACACCAGGGAGCCGCCAGAATTAGACATGCCGCATCTTTCCTGGTAAGCCACTGCCACATGGCGATACATAGATTAATAGAAATGGGCTAAATCAAGGTATAAGGGTAAGATGTTAGAGCTAATAGTCCAATCAGTTATTTAATGAACACAGTTTCTGTGTGGTTATTTCGGGGCTAAGCTAGCTGGGTGGCAGTGATGAACAAGCGGCCCTCTGCCTTGCAACACATATTTACGAAGATAAGATATAAGTTTATTATACAAAATGGAAAGGTAAAAAGAAAAGAAAACATTTAATTTCTACTATCAGCTATGAATGCAACATTTCTCAAAACATGGTAATATACATGGTAATATACACCATGTATAATGTAGTTAAAAAT